TAGAAAACAAATTCAAGAGTCACAATTCAAACATCTAATTGTTAAGAAATGTTTTTTACCTGCCAATCTGAATTTGGACAGGAAGAGCAACGTGAAATTGTACCTTCCTCTCTGGACCAGGTACGACAGATAGAAATCTAGGAGAGCTGACTTTGGTAAGAATTCTTACCCTGTGCCGACTTCTGCCAGTTTTCCCAGGATGCTGGCTGTAGGCTCCGGAGCAGGTGCAGTGTCCCAGTGAGTCCCTGCGTCTTACGTCCTTTCCCAAAGTCATTTAAATAATTTCCAAAATCTCTGTGAAATGTGATTTTTTGGACAGAAAAAGATGCAGATACTTGGCTGAGATCCCTTTTTCTCTAGGACACCTTGGATATAGATACGCTCATCCAGGTTGAAAGTTCTCCACTGTATCTCTTACCGGTGGAATGCGTTGTTTCTCGACTTCTTGTCTTCTTGAAGGAAGTAATTCAGTCAAGAGCCCAGAAAGCAAGAAAATGCAGTGAGGCGAAAAATACGCTCTCCAGACCATAGAGACGATTGTGGGGAAAGCTGAACAAACCCGGCTATTAGGGTTAGATTGGTTTTTATTTTTTCTTAAGAGGCAGGAAGTCCTGCCCTGCTTCTTAACGTCCTTTGACCGACAGGTTGATTGACAGCTCTGGGTTGTATCAACTTTTTCTCAGCGCGCAGGCACCTCAGCTGGAAGTACCCACGCGAAGCCCACAGGTGGGCCAGAGCCGCAGGGCTAATGTTAGTTTAATGAGGTGGGGATGCTAGTTCTTCGGACCCTGGGCGTGCCCTGTAGTCACGGGAGCCCCCGAGCCAAGTCAGGTGGCCTTGACCTGGAACTGGGACCTACGGAGGGCTTAGCGGCTGGCCAGGGAGTCGTCTTCCTCGGTGACAGCCTGGCCCCCTTCTCCTGCCTCTGTCTGCCTAGCCGCCTCCTAACACGGCCACTCGAATTCAAGATTATCTCTGATAAGGTTAACCTGCTACTGCCGCCTTGCAACAGAATTTTAACCACCTGAGGCCTCTCACTGCACCCAGTTCAGCTTAAGTCGGACCCAGAATGAGCCCAGACCAGGTCTGGTTTCTAACCCAGCCCAGCCGGGACGCGGTCGGGTTTGTAAGTCGGACCCAGGCCGGCTCTGCCCGTTTCCCATCCAGTCTGGAAACAGACATGCCCGAATGAACCCTGACCTGCCTACCGAAATCCCGACTGCAGAAGCTGCGGAGGATCCCGGAGGGCCCTGGGCTCGCCCTGCCGGCGGCGAGGGAGGAAGCCGTCCGCGAGCGCGGAAACCGCGAGTCCCGCGCCCACCAGGTACCCCGTGCGCTGGCTCGTCGCTCCCGCGGGTCGTCGGGGCACCTCTGAAGTCTCCCTGCCCCACGGTTACTATGAAAACATAAACTGAGGCATGTTAAAATTTTTGAGAGTTTATTTGAGCGACAGTGGTTTTGAGTCGGGCCGCGTCTAATCCAACAGCAAGGCGCCTAGACGAGCTGTACAACCTGAGACGTTCAGAGGCTGAAGGCAGGGAAACAAGGAGTTAGAATAAGCAGAAAACGGGGTGAGGGGGAGCTGGTTATTGTAAGGTTACTTTCCTTTAGGGAACGGCAGGGGTCTGGCAGGCAGATCACTTAACTAGCACTGCTCAGGTGATACCTAATTGGTTTAAGATTGCAGTTCTAGGAAAAGCAAAACTGTAATAAAGTTTCTGTTTGGTGATACGGGGTTTAGAATAAACAACTCCGTTTTGGGCCTGTTGTCTTGTTTTTAAAACGGTTATGCTTATATTTAATGTCATGCTTAAAACATCTTCCTCCTTACAACTGTGCTAAAATATTTAGTGATTTTTTACCCTACACTTTTGACCTTGTTTTTCTTCTCAAATGTATTTTTTGGTAAGAATACAAAAAAATTTAATCTAGCTGTATAATATTTTTCCAAGTGACTGGTTGATTTTTCTCAGCATCCTTTATTGATTTCTCTATCTTTCCCTCATCCATTTGGAAATATGTATTTCCCAAATTTCCTATTTAACAGGTTCATCTGTGAACACTGTTGTTTCATTGATCTATTTGTCTATTATACTGTTTTTCAAATTGTGCTTTTTTTCATTAGAGAAGATGTCTGTTTAGCCAACATGATTGGAAATAGTGTTTTCTGTTAATCAAAAAAACTGGTTAAAGCAGAGAATCATAAAAAAACCCCACAATAGCTTAAATATTTTAATATAAAACTTACAAATGCAATTTGCTAGTCTCTTGAATTAGATCTCAGGCATTTTGTATGACTATTGTTCTGTTAATTTTTGTATCAATATTGGGGCAGTTTGGGCAAGATCTTGAAAGAAAGACATAAGCAATCTGAGTGAGAATCCTTTTTATGATTTGTGTCTTAATCCGTTAAGAGTTTTCTTATCCACACTAGTTCAAAATATTTCTTTTTTGTGGTTTTCTAAAACATTTAACTTAATTTTCATAGAAACAACCTTTTTCTTTAAGAACACATTTCCTGGGTTTACGTAATATTAAATTAGGTAGTTATTTGCTGTAAATAGGCATAAACAGTTCTGAGTTTTTAGTTTTAGTTCTGAGAAAGAATAATCGACTCAACCATGGAAACAGATTTGCGTGAATGTAATAGAGTGTTGCCCATTGGCTGTATTTTCAGTATTTAGAGGGCATCAGGTGATACATTTCAGAGTGAAAAGTGAATTCCTTAAACTGGTAGATTAGTTAGGGGAAGAATATTTGTAGTTGTGTTACAATCATCTGGGAATCTTATTATAAAAAATGCACATCTCTATGCTCTAGTCCTGACCTAGAAAATCAGAATTTTCAGTGTTTTACCCACTGGGAAATTTCAGAATTAATATGCATCCTAGGTGATTCTTCTGCATGATTTGAGAGCTGTGGGTGTATTACTTCACTCATAACAAGCTACTCTAATTTATGTAACTCTATTATATTTTAATATTCTGTAACACTCCATCAATTTTCTTAATTTTCTTGACTAGTTCTGCATGTTTATTTTAACAGGTCAAAGTTAAAATTTTACTTTCAACTTATTTCAGGTCACATTGATTCAGTAGATTAGAGAGAATTGGCATCATGACAGTGTGCAATTTTGGATTCCCCAGACACATTATGTATATCCATTTATTCCAGGCTTTTTAAGTGACTCAGTAGGGTTTTAAAGTTTTCTTTGTATAAGCCCTACATAATTCTTGCTAAGTTTCTTCCTCAGTGTTTTATCCTCTTCTGCTATTCCTACTGAAAATATGAACTTTTTATCCATCAAATTTTCTAACTTACTTTGTCTATATATTATAAAAGCTGTTGCATTTATATTTTGATTTTGTAGTCAGTCTCTTGATTCACTTTTTTTCATAGTTCTAGTAGTTTGTTATTTGTTCATTTCTCTGGTGTTTTCTAAACATAAGTCATATCTACTGCAAACAATAACTATTTTGCCTTTTGCTTCTTTCTGTTTTTATTTCTTGTTTCTCTTTCCAAGTGCACAGACTTCCTGAATGGCACTCTGCTGTTCTGAAATGTGGAACTGCATCCTTATTGTTTATTCCTCCTGTCCCTGGCCCATGCCCACAAGTCTTACCAGTCTAAGTAAATGATGCTGGGACTTTAGAGAGCTGCACCATTTATTTGACTATTCTTTCCCAGTCTGTGTGGAAGTTACATCCTCCCCCATTTGCTCCAAAATGCTCAGTGTTTGGGAAATATTTTTTTTTAGCTTGTGTTTTAAATTTGTAGCTGCTTTTCTTACTTAATTGAAAATGCTCTGTTTTTATTTTTGTTTTTTGTTGAGTTTCACATAAAGTGTTATAATTACATCTGGCTAATTATCATAGGAAGTCTTCTCCATCAGCTTTTTAAAGACCTGAAAATATGTTATTTGGATTTTAATTTCTTTTTTCTTTTTACATAAATGTAAGCTTGGTGGGACATTCTAATTCTAAATCTTAGGGAGAATTTTCATCTGTTATTGCTAAAAATAAAGATGGTGATAGTTTTATTTCAAGAATACATTATAGGTGAGATTCAAGATGGCGGTGTGAGAGGTGAGATGGAGAATTCCTCCCAAGACCACAAATAGTGTGAAAATATAGTTAATTGCTACAACTAACCCTAAAACAGCAACAAGAAGGAAGGCTGAACCAGACTGCATGCAGACCTCATGAACAGAGCAGACCTCACGAACACAGGGTAACGTACGAAAGCCTTAATCCAGCGCGACCCAGGCCCTTCCCCAACCCCAGCTCACAGATGGGAGGAAGAGAAATGGAGCAGGGGAGCGGGTGGAAGCCTAGAACTGCTGAACAATGAGCCCTGGAGGTCGACTTTGGGAGCAGAAACTACACTGTGTGGTGCTCTGGACGTTGGGTGGCTCAGACAGGTGGAGTGCTTGAGAGACTAAGATTCCGGCCATTTGTGGAGGAGGGGATCCACACCAGCTGCTCTGGGACAAGGGAAAGGCAGGCCATTTAAGAGGCTTCCTAGCAGCGAGAGGGCTGCTGAAGGAGTGGGGTTTGCATGGAGCTTGCTGCACGGGGAAAGGGAGAACTGGACAAGATTGTTTGGGCATGCTCTGCCCAGCTGTTAAGGACTTGGAGGAGCTTCAGGGGCCCCATCCCCCTGGCTGCCTACTCAGCTCCGAGGCCCCCCATTGTGACACACAGCCTGCTGCGCCTTCCTCCTAGCCTGCTGGCACCAGTTTGCATACCGGCAATCACTGCGCTGGCATCAGGCCAGTCAGAAGGAGGCTCAGCCTACAACAGCTATAGACACAAAGCACAGAGGCTTACAGCTGTGTGCTCGGCCCACTGGCTCTGATACTGGAGACAGGCACTGCAGACGGGAATCAGGAAACAGATCTCTCCTCCCCACAGGCACCAGCTCCACAACCCTACGATGCCCAGCAACACTCTAGGGGCTGAGCAGCTCCCGAGACTGGAGCTTCTGGGCACTAATGAGCACTACACAGAAATATGAAACAT